CATTTGACGGCTAAGATGTGCCGCACGTTACATTGAAGTACCCAAAAAATCGTAAAACGCGAATAATTTCCGAAAACTCCATATGCCATTAACGCGCATCCGATTTCGGTGTGCACCCTAAAAAAATACATCGATCTATACCATTTCAATGTGGTCTATTAAGAACCATGGATGTGCCAGCAAAATCTATTTTTGAGATAAATTGCGTACATCTCTCTTTCGGCTGAAGTTTTTAAAGTTGTCTTCTCGAAAAAGATCAAAATCCGTATGAGGTCATTTATTGAAGCGGAAATGATACACAGAAAACGCAAATAAATCCGCGATATTTTCAAAAACATTTTTTGCCAAATTTCGTGTTTTTGGAAGGCCAGTTCCCGCCGTTCTAGTAGATGGATTTTCACGAAGAAGATTTTATATCATCCGAAACGTAAAAAACCTTATTGATCGCGGGTACCCATATCATTCAGTTGACAGATCTAAAAATTTGGCCCGAAAAATAGGTTTTTAAGAAATTTGATCGCACAAAATTCGCACCTTCGGATGAGTATTACTCTGAAGCTGTGCATACTACATACACAAAATACATATCAAATTACGCAGATTCGCGACTACAATAATCTTATAATCGATTTTTAGAAATTCCTGTTTGCGTATTAAAGCTAGAAGTAAAATTAAAAAAACACTCAAAATCGAGCTTCAAAATGTCAGCATCATTTAAAGGTAGATGCAGTTAAAATTTTGAAAAATGAGACATAAGGGGCGTAGTCCCCATTTTGTTGGCTTTTAGTTTTATTTTGACACGAAGACCGTGCATTGAGTGGCTTAGTCACAAATCGATAGAGAACATAAAAAAACTGGTTCGCCTCAACTTGTTTTTACACATTTTTTTACATTAAAGTAGACACAGCTTCCACCAAAATAAAGTTTGGAGGTCAATATCATGAACAGTTTGCAACGACAGATCAACTTACCCAAAACTATTCACTTTTTTTCCTATACTTAAGTAATTCCCGAGTTATAAAGGGGTGAACCTCCGCTTCAGCTATGTTAAAAAATTGGTAATATTGCCCATATATAATTTATAATAAATAAAATAAGTTTAATTTACTTATTTTAAGTTCGGTCGGACTGAAGTCGGGCTGGGTCGACTATATGATACCCTTCACAAATTTGGGTAGATGCTACATACGCATCCAAAAAAATTAATGTCAATGTTCCTTCGAGGGGAATAAAACGAATTTAAATATATGACCTTCATCTATAAGTGAACCGAATAACATTAATCCATACACATGCCTTTCTTCAACCTATGCTAAATTTCACTTCATTCAGGTAGATTTTGGAGTCGTTTGCGTACAATGGCACAAATTTATGTAAATTGATTTATATCACACTCAAAATTTAATCTCAATCAGACACCCGTTCGAAATAAGCCTGCAACTGCAAAATTTTCAAAAAAAAAAAAAACCTTAACGCCATTTTAGTCTCAATTTGATTCCTTGTGCAAAATTTCATATCTATCGGACAAACATGAGGAGTTTGTTGTACCATTTATCTAAAATCGGACGAAACTATATATGTGGGAGCAATATCTAAATCTGAACCGATTTTCACGAAACTTAACGCACATCATTATTGACTTAATTCAGTATGCTATGCTAAATTCCGTGCAAATCAAAGGATATATAGGGACTTTGATGCCCTATTTACCATAAATCGGTCGAAAATATATATGGAAGCTATATCTAAATCTAACCAGATTTTCTCAAAACTCGACATACGTCATTCTAGACTCAATTCAGTACACTATGGAAAATTTCGTGCAAATCGAAAGATATATAGGGACTTTTGTGCACCATTTACATAAAATATATATGGGAGCTATAACTATATCTGAACCGATTTTCACGAAACTTAACACACATCATTCTAGGCATAATTCATTATGCCATGCCAAATTTCGTGTAAATCGAAAGAAATATAGGGACTTTGTTACACTATTTACAAAAAATTGGACGAAAATATATATGGGAACTATATCTAAATATGAACCGATTTTTCCCAATTTCAATAGGGTTTGTCCTTGGGTCAAATAGATGAGCTGTGCCAAATTTCATCCTATTCGGATGATAAATGCGACTTGTACTTTGTTTGCAATTTAACATCTACAGACGGACGGACATGCAAAATTCGTCTCAGAAAGTTATTCTATGCATATTCTCAAAAGGAACCACGTGTATATCTCGTTTTCATTTCAAAAATTTCCAAGATCTCCAAATATGACACACAATGAGAAAAATAACATCACAGTCAATTTGGACGAAAACCCTGACCAAAATATTGGGTGGTACCCCCTCCCTCATGGTACCCAGGGAGGGGGTACCACCTTAAAAACAGTTGACAAATAGTGACTTTTTTGTAGTCATATTTTGCTCCTTTAGAATCCAAATTTCAATAGAATCAAAATTAAAATTCAAAATTAAGACATTTCGGTTAAATAATTTCCAAAACCGCGTTTTTTGTGGTAGGCTAAGAACCTTCAATGTACTGATTATTGGCGGGTAACTTTTTTATCGAAGCTATATCAAAATGTGGGCCGATATATATCATTTGCAATACCAAAGATCCTGGGAGTACCAGAAATGGCTGTGCTTTATTATTACGTTCTCTGTCAAGATTTTAATAGGCCAAAAGACTTGGCGAAATCGTTATGCAATTTTATTCAGATTAAGATTATTTGAAATGACAAAATAAAAAAAAATATATATATATAAAAATATATTCACAAAATGTTACAAAAATCCGGCTGGTGCGCACGTTAATTCTCGAAATTAGTAATCGATTTCATCCAAATTTTACACATCGTAATATTTTTTCCAAAGTTACTTCAAGTTCGGAGGTGGGGAATATCGGTGCACTCCTTCTGGTACCACTCGCAAAAATGATCAAAACTGTGCAAAAAATTAATTTTGTACTATCATACAAACGGGTCATATGATTTGAAGTAAACTTTTTCCAATTTATTATCTACACCAAGTCCGAAAATGGCATACATTGGCTAGCGCCTTCTGTTTCCTCCTTCACAAAGGGTCAACATTTTCAATATTCATAAATCCAATATCAAGTGAATGGAATGTCCGATTTGACTCAAACTTTGCACAACCTTTTATCGTTACCAAGACCAGATCAAGTTCGCAGAAGGGGCCCATTGGCCCACTCCTTTCACTCTTTCAGGTGTTCAAAAACTGGCGTCCAAAAAAACACGCATCCGCAATATTTATACCCTACACAACTATGTTGTCAGGGTATTATAGCTTTGTGCAACTCCAAGAGTTTGTAACGCCGCGACTAGCTCGACTAGCTGAGCCGATCTAGACATGTGTGTCCGTCTGTCCATTATAATTTGTAAACACGATACAGGCCACAGTTATGGACCAATCTTCACCAAATTTTGCATGGATGATCGGTTCGGCCCAATGAAGACCCCTATTGTTTTTGGTAAAGATCGGTTAATATGTAAGGGATGAAATGGACCAAATACTTAATTTTTGTCGGTTTTTATGGTCGCTCCAGAGGCCGCAGCTATGGTCCAAACATCGTGAAATTTTACATGGAGAAGAGGATCGTGCCAAAGAATAAACATTCCTTTTTTGATAAAGATCGGTCAATATTTATCGGGTCAAATGGACCCTGATTTTTGTGTGAAAAATTACAAAATTTTTATTCTGGGGCGTATATACTTACTCCTGAAGGACATAGAGCCGAGAAGTTGATAGTATATCCAAGAGGAGTTGTTGACCTTCAAATTGATACCAAACTTATGGCTGCATGTACTCTGATGTGGGAGTTATATGTAATTAGGTAAAAGTGACTAGTCCATACTATTACTATTACTCCATTAGAGGACGGAAATGTCGCGCTGATAGCTTTGAAATTGTACATGAACTTCCGATTATGGACAAGGGCGACGGCTATAGTTTTCGGTGAAGTTGAGATTTCATTCAGGGGTGCAATGAACGGAAAACTTTAATTTTGTCAGATTTTTTAGTCGCTCTAGAGGCAATTATTATATGCAGAACATCACATATTTTACAAGGTGAAGGGGATCTGACCAAATACTTAGAGCGGCTGTTTAGATGATGATCGGTCAATATTCCGAGGGTAAAATGAAACCAAACCTAAAGTGAACATTTTGTTTATTTTACGGCGTAAAATTTCACTTCAAGAAAAAAATTGGAAAAATATATCAGGGTTATAAATGAAGTTGTTGATCTATAATCGATAAAAAGGGTGCAAATATCTCGAAATATTTTCCAGGCTCAGAATATAGAACCGCAGAAAGTTTGATTTTCGAGGTAGTTGTGTAGGGTATTATATGGTATTCCGACTATACTGCTCCGCTCACTGGTTTTACAATGAAATCACGCATTTCTAATTTTTCCATTGTTCAAAATTGCGGATGCGTCTTTTTTGAACACCTGTTTTTATATGAAGGAGTTGCCAGATCGAAACAAAATTTAACGTGTGTTTATAACAGAGATGACCGTTTCCAAAACACCTAACATTTTTTCTGTTTATACCGGGCTTTCGGTTTAAACCGATATTTCGAGTTGCCACATTTTGTCAATTCTGTCGACTACCCATACCCCTAAAATACCATATTTTCTGAACAAAATTCCCCTTTATATCCTCTCAATTACATATTAATGAGATGTTTTCTTATTTCTGAGTTGAGCAATCTTAAAATGAAGGTTATCTTTTTAATATTTCATTAAAACAATTATTCGTTTCATCAAATATCCTTGCCTTACATCCCTATACCAGTCACTGTATTTGTTGTTTTTTTTTATTTTTCGTTTACTTATGTCCAGTAACAACTTACAACCATTGTTTCCGCCACCCCATTCCCCCTTTATTTGCTGCCAGTTATTTATTTTATTAATTGAGTCCTTTTTTTAATTGTGGACACCGTTTATTCGAGGCATCTCTGCATTATTTACCTGTTATTTGTGTTGTGCCATCCCTTTGGGTAGTGGATACCCGCCGAAACATGCTCAGCACAGCCTTCCTAAAAAATACAGAAAAAGGGAGCCAAAAAAGTTAAACATTATTATTAAAATGTATTCCCTAGAGGGGGAAAATTTAAAAAAATAGGAACCAAATTCAAAGGCATGGAAATAGATTTTCGAATTACTGAGCAGCAGCAGCAACAGGTAAAAGTCAAAGTGTTACATCATGACTAATTGGAGAATTTGGGCAAATTCTTTTAAAAACTTAACAATAATATTTTCGGTACACTTATATAGAATTATCTGATGATCAAAAATGGGGAAAATAATTTGAAAAAAATGCACAGCATTTTAAAAAATCTATCCATTGAATTTATATTCATCAAAAATTTTTATTAAATTTCATAAACTTTATTTAGGAATTTCATAAAAAATTAATGAATTTATATAAAAAACACAATCGGACAATTCTTAGAATAATATGTGTTCTACTAACGAATTCGATATTTTGACAGGGTTTCAGGTAAAAAATGTAAATAATTTACCATTGACATCCATTATATGTAAACGTTTCTTTAATTCCATGAAACTTACCTGAAATTTTGTCCACTCACACAATATAATACGAAATTAATTCCGAAATTAGTTACGAACAGTAAATGGAAAATATATTGTAGAACTACGGTGGTCTTCTCGTTGGTCGATGATTGTGTCTGAAAATAAAGAAAATAAATATTTTAATCGTTTATTTTGCAAGTGCTTTAAGTCCGAATACACACATTTGAAGATTTAAAGGAGGCGAAAATAAATTGACAAAATTTTGTTGTTGGTTTTATACCCTCAGCCTTTTGGCAATTTGATGTGGCAAAAATGTTTCATCGAAATATTGGTTCTAGACACCATGTTTTTCAGGCTCCGTCTCAGGCTATTTGGAATCGACAATTGTCTGTCCGTCTGTCTGGCCAGTTGGTGCGTACGATAACCCTCGTAGGGAGTAACAAAGTTCATTCAAACTTTACGCATCGCAATATTTCTTTCAAACTTCGTTTAAGGGAACCCCCCCATTCTCGATTTTAATTTTTCAAGATTTTCAATGGGCTGGTAAATCAATACCAATGCTTGTTAAGGTTTGTAACTTTGCACATATATATTTGAAGATTTAAAATAGAAGAAAAATAATTTACAAAACAATTTTTTTGTTGTCTTGTTGTTGTTTTTTGTAATTAAAGAAAAGTCCATATTTTTTATGGCGGGCATGATAACTCCTCACTGGAACACCGGAATCCGAAAATTCCACAAAATGGCGGACCTTTGAAAAAATATTTTTGGAAAATCGCCGATTTTTGACCAAAAACCAAGTTAAAAAATAGGGAAGATCTTCACCGATTGGCTTTATCCTAGTTCATACGATAGCTATACACTCACAGAGAAACGTGTACAAATTTGGAATCGATTGGGTTATTAGTTTTTGAGTTATCGTGCCCGCCATTCGCAAAAGAGAAAAACGAGTTTAGCCGCCACTTGATGCTGACACAATAAATCGGCTATATCTTCAAGAGTTCTTGAGATTTTCACTTGAAATTTTGTAGGGACATTCTTTAATCAGTGTAGATTCGAATTAATTCAAAAAAATTTTTGACCCCGAGAACTGGGGGGGGGGGGTTCCCTTAAGTTCGAAGATGGGGAATATCGGTCCGTCCTCCAAAATAATCAAAATTGTGTTAAAATTAATTTTACAATATCATGCGAACGGACTATCCGTTTCGAACTAAACACTGTACAACCTATTATCTTTACCAAGTCTATGTCAAGTAGGAGGATAGGGCCCATACATCCACTCTTTCTGGTACCTCCCACACAAATGGTCAACATTTTCAATATGTATAAATGCAATATCAGACGAACTGACTATCCGTTTTGAACCAAACTTTGTACAAGCCTAGGTGAAGTCCTAAGAAAAGAACCATTGGTCCACTTCTTCTGATATCTCCCTCACAAAGGGTCATCATTTTCCATATTTACAACTCCAAAATCAGGCGAATGGAATGTTCGATTTAAAACAAACCTTGGTAGAACCTATTGTCTTTACCAAACCTAGATCAAGTCCGAAGGTGGCAGCCGTCGGCTCTCTCCTTCTGGTACCTCCCCCACAAAGAGTCAATATTTTAAAATTTGTAAATTTAAATAAATTAAATATTAAATCCGAAAACTCTTTGATAAATACATATATATAAAGAAAATAATAAAAGCTGTGTGTAATTCCAAAAACCTCAGCAAGCAAAAGACTGATGGTATATACACTGGTGACCAAAACTAAAGCAACTGAATAAATGACCTATAACATTTTTGAAAATAAGGTTATAGTGAAAGTTTTTTTTCGAAATAAATAGATAATTTATTCACTTTAAAAACCCAAAAAATATTAAGGTAAAACTAGCGGGCCCGGCAAACGTTGTCTTGCCCAGCAATATAGTTGATGTATAATTTTCGATATTTTAGGTTGGTTTTTATACCCTCCACAGATTTTTGTAATACCTTGGTATTTGTCCGAACACACAGAAAATAACATTACAGTACTGAATATCTGAAATTGTATGTTTATGAACTATTTGCTATTTTTGTCCTCTAAAGTTTCGTTGATTAATAATTGCATTCGTGGAAAAATAAATTTAAATTAAAAACATTTAAATGCACATATAAGTTTGACTTCCGGATTTAATTACATTTTCCCCAATATATTTATTAGTCTTCCATATAACGGTAGCGTAATATTAAATTAGCTTTTTATACCCTCCACGATTTAATATAGAACTTTGAAATTTGCACATTTCTACTACTTATATAATATTTGGTATTGAAAATGTTAAATTTTCGTTCACTTTTTATGGTAGCCCCCAATATTCAACCGAATTACTTCTAATTTAATAATAGGGATACTACTACTAATACTGCCTAATTGAGATGATCAATATTGGCCTAAGATTTTTCTTAAAATTTTCTCTCATAAAAACCTTCCCACTGTAATTACCGACAACTGAAAGAAACTTTGAGTCAAATCGGTCCAGACGTTCTCAATTGATGAGTTAGTATACATTTTTTTGCCACCATTTATATATATATATAGATAGATTAATTTTGAAATTAAAAAAATTTGTTTATGGAAAAAACTAAATTGACCCAATTTTTTTGCTTAGTCAAAACTAATGCAACTTTTTGATTTTTTTCTTATAAATAAGCAAATCGACAGCATAACCACAATTTTTTGATTATGGCAGACACCTAGCAGACATTGAATCAATAAAATGCTCAATTTGATCCTTGGTTTACTATTCCTTGTATCCTGAACCATTGGAAAGAGGCTATGTATGCTTGTTTGTGAACTCTTTAGATTTTGCTATCCATGATACACCAATGATTTTTCTATAAGGTACAAATCTGATGATTGTGTTGGCCATTATAAAACTCTGATTTTTTTACTCCAGCAAACAATCTTTTACATGTTTTGGGGGTATGTTTGAAGGTTATTGTCATGCTGAGACACCCAGTACAGAGGTATATTTTCTTCAACAAGGGAAAAATTGCGCTTTCCAACACATTTGTATAAATAATCCGATCCATTACTTCATACATCTCGAAAAATATCGAATTCCATAAATATACAAACAATAGAATGCCATCATTGACCCGCATCCATGCTTTCCAGCACTCTTACAATACCATGGCATGAGCATTTAATTTTTTGGACTTTCTCACGGTTTTTTTTTTCATGTCTGAGTTTTCAATATTTAACTTTTATTCATCCGAGAACATAATATTTCTGCACTGAGTCGAGTCCCAATTAATATGAGCTTTTGCGAAAGACTATCTGGCTTTCCGATTTTTCAGAAGTAATATGGCTTTTACGATAGTTTCCAAGCATGTAGACCTGCTACCATAGCTCGTTCACGCTCTGTTCTTGAGGTTATATTCAACGATAACTTTCTCACAAATTCCCTTGAACTCTTAAATGGGTATTTTTTAGGGCTATGACAATTTGTTGATCAGTACGAACTGATGTTCTTCTACTGATCTAGTTGCATAAAATTAACATATAATTCCAAAAATCACTATATTATTCATAGAATATTTCTCCGAAATCCTTTTCTGTAATAAATTATTTTCACAATCTCTGGTAATTAGCTGTTTTATTGGAGTACTGTATTTGTTTCTAGCCATTTTTATGTATTTTTGGCAGTATGTCAAAATAGAATACCAGACACATGTTATTGTAATAAAAATCCATTTAAAAATTACCTCTAAGAATCGGAATATGTGAGAAAACAAAACATGCGAGGGCGGTTAGGAAACTTCTTAGCAGGTTGCGCAAAAATTCGCTCGCGAATGATTCAAAATACTACATTTTTTTCGTTTTGTGCTCATTTTACGAATGAATTTATGGCGATAAACTCTTTACCAAACGAACATTCGCCAACAAATGTTCGCGCACACATAACAAATGAGTGAGAGAACAAAACAACGTTCGTTTCGTTTGGTGGTTGAAATTCTTTCTGACATTCTCTCACGAATGAAACATTTCCGAATTCTCGCGAATGCTCAAAACAGCAACAACAATAACAATAAACGTGCGTGAATCAATAGTTGTTGGACATGTGTTTGTGTGTTCAGTGCTCGCGAGCATTCGCGAACATTTGTTTTTTGAGTTTTTCAAAAGAATGTTCTTCAGCAACAAATGCCCGCGAAAGAATGAATCGACGACGCTTGCAGCGAAATTTTATCGTTCGTGAATTTTTCGTACAATGTGAATATTCGCGAGAGATTGCAAATGCTTGTTCATTCATTGTAACTTTATCATTCGCGATAAATTTAAAACATTCGAATTCTCGCCCGTGAGAAATAGCGTATTCTAATCATTTTTCGCACCCTGCTTCTTAACCTATCAATGAAAGTTTTCCTAAAAATCAATTTTTAGTTGCTTTAGTTTTGTCAACCAGTGTATCTGGCGGCAACACATATTTACTTGTTTTTAAATACAATTTCTATTTGATTTATTGTCATTATTAATTCCTTGCAAATTCTCTTTTTTAATACCGTTACGGAATATACATTTATTTCCTTGAATTTCCTGCTCACTTTGCTGTTGGCCGTTGTTTTTTTTTTTGTTTTTTTTTTTTTGTAGATTGGGTATTTTTAATCACACACACACATTCAATTGCAAATACGATAATTAATGCGAAAACCTGAACCGTTAGCTGCAATTTCGAATAGAAATTCAGAATTTTTACGGACAAATTATTGTTGAATACCTAATACAGGGCAACGTTTCCGCTATTTGCTGAAAATGTATAGTGTTGTTTTCCAATTTTATTTGAATTTCTACCAGTGAAATGTTAGATTGATAGTTCTGGTCTGTCTGTCTGTCTGTCTGTTGGTGTTTGGATGAAATTTCCATTTGTATATGGGCAATATTGTGAATTTTTTAACATAGCTGAAGTCGAGGTTCGCCCTTTTTTAATTCGGGAATTATTTAAGTATATGAAAAAGTGAATAGTTTTGGTATAATTGATCTGTCGTTGCAAACTTTTCGTGATATTGACCTCCAAACTTTATTTGGGTAAAAGCTGTGTCAACTTTGATGTGAAAAAATGTGTAAAAGCAGGTTGAGGCGAACCACTTGTTTTATGTTCGTTTTATCGATTTGAGGCTAAGCCACTCC